GGAAAGAGGGTGCAGAATTTGGTGGCAGTGAATATACCTGAAAGAGAACGAGGAGGAGATGGCATTGCCAACCAAGAGTATGAGGCAGAGGGTAGCTGGGAAATGATGGACTCAGTGTGCATGAGAACGAGATTGATGGAGTGAAGAGGGAAGTTATAAGTAAAACTATAACTTTGTTCAGGAAACCAATTTTTTTGGGTTTTGAAATCAGACTTAAAATGTTTTGAAATTGGGTTAAAAACTATTTTAACTTCAATTTTGCAAAACACAATATGTTTTGAAAATTGCATTTCAAAACTAAACCAAATGCTCGCGCAGCTACCTCAAATGAGCCCTTAGTTTGCCTGTTGTATTTGGTGAGTTGATGGGTGTTTTGGGGACTGGGGAGTTTGGTTCCTGTTCCACCTGATCAACAAAATGTTTCTATCTCAAGTTATAACTTATAAGCATATTACAAAAGTTTATGCCATTTATATTTTTATAATATATTATTGTACGCTTGGAATAATCAATAATGTGCTTCGGTGGACAGTTGAGTGCTTCAGACTTTAGCCTTTTTTAAAGCTAACAGCTTCTGCTTACAGGTACTTAAAAAGTATGGTGTAGAAAAATTTGATCCTACAAACGAGCCCTTTGATCCACACAGGCATAATGCTGTTTTCCAAATCCCTGATGGTTCTAAGCCTCCAGGAACCATTGCAGCTGTTTTGAAGGTAATCTACATAATTTGTAGTGGAGGGTTATGATGTGCTTTTTCCAATTTTATAATTTGTTTTGACCCTTAAAATACATGATGTGTTATTTTTGGTTTATGATGCATGGGTACTCAGAAATTGGTGGCATATTTGTTTCATATTCATATTCATATTCTATGCTGTTACTTTTATGATAATGCTGAATGAATTCATTTGTATTTGAAAAACCTGAGATACAAATCTAAATCATGTTCTGAGCGAAGCATATTCTCACTCTTGTAATTGATTCCATGCTCTATTGAGTGGGAACCAAGTACAGTGGACCTAATAATGAAGGGTGTTTTGCAAACATTTCTCTTGCATATTATATTGAATTTGAATCTTGTTGGACATGCAACATAGTTTCTGGTTAAAGCCCTTTTAATTTGCAGTGCGACAAGTTCTGATTGATCTTTGTCAGTGTCATGACAAGCTTTTTTCTGTTCTTAAACCCAATCATCTGACACTTTTCATTTATGATTGCTTGAAAAAGGGCTTTTAATTTTTAGATTCTTTTTGAATCGGAGGTTTATTTGATTGCATGTTGGAAAGAATGTAGTCTTATTATTGGTTTTGTTGGGAAGTTTATTTAGGAGATTGAAAACATGAATAAAAAGCTATCTTTCGGTTGTGATTGCAGGCAGGATATATGCTTTATGATCGTGTTATTCGCCCAGCGGAAGTTGGTGTAACCCAAGCAGTCGAGGATGATGAGAATAATGGAAAAGATAACATAGCTGATAAGGGCTCACAGGATTAGGATAGTGGCTTCAGAAGCATTATAATCTTCTCTCCATGTCACTATTTTCTGGGCTTTTTACCAGCATGCAATAGACATTCTTTTCAACTAATCTTGTTTAGAGAGTAACACGGTACCATGAGATGGGTTTGTCTCCATCAGATTTTGGTTGTATCGATGCTGTTTATACTGATTCATCATAGTAAAATCTTTGTTTGTGGGACCTTTGTGTGTTTATGCCATCTCATACACAAACTTAACCAATTGTGAGTTAGAAAACATTTGGGACTCCAGTTGCAGTGATAGCAAATGAATAAATTTGGTTTAGTTTCAGATGTAAGAATATTTATTTAATATATTGCCTTGATCTATGTTAATTTCTTAAAAAAAATAATCCTATTTGCTAATCGGAGGAGCTAGCATCCACTAACTATGCTAATTTAGTTTATTTATTCATTAATTAACTTCACTAACTTAGTCTAATTAGCCAATTAATAAAATAAGTGCCCTGTTTGAAAAGAAATTATATCTTATATTATATAAGTTTTTATGAAAGTATTTAAGAAAATTTATAAAATATCTTATAGATAATTTATAAAATAGAGTTTATTTTTATAAATTATCTTGTATAGTTTATTAGTTAATTTATCGGGGGGTTATAAGGAAATATATATAATATTCATGTTTGAATCTTATCGTTAATGTAAATAATTTTTATTTTATTTTATTAATTGAAAACCAGTTTTTTTTTATTCTTTTAAAGGCTTTTGTTTCTCCATTTAAAAGTTTTTTTCTCTTTATCTTTTTTTTTCCCTTGTGAATTTTTTTTTCTACCTCATCTTTTCAAAATTCATGTTTTCCTATTATAAGGAAATCCTCGCCATTTGCTTTCCTGAAATAACACATTTTTCTTATTGAAAATCTCTCCATCAAATGTATGTAATATCTTCTTTCTTTTCTATGGTGGGTCTCATTTACTATTTTACGGATTATTATTTTTTATTTATTTATGTAATTTACATTGCAAAAACAAAAACTTAAATACTCTCTTTACAGTTTTGTCTTAATGGTGCAAACTTACGAACCCATTAACTCACTTGCTACAATTTTATCCTTTCACACCTCTTTCATGATTACTACTGCATTTTGCTAATGTTTCAGCTGAATGTGTTACTACCACCAATAAAGTCATTAAAAACTCCAAGATTTGGGTTTTAATCATCGGCTTCAACCGAAACTAATGACAAGGAAAAAGGGAATAATGTGCATAATGGATATTTAGTTTACCTTTTGAACTTTGATGAGGTGATGGGTGTCCTGGGGACTGCAAAATTTGGTGAAGAACTCTAGTACCTTCCTGTGCCACTTGATCAACAAAACGTTTCTAATTTCAGTTATAACTTAAAAAGCACATTACAAAAGTTTTTGCCAGTTATATTCTATTACAATATATTATCGACTCCTTGAAATAATATGCTTCTGTGGGCAGTTAAGTGCTTTATGCTTCAGCCTATTCCAATTTTATTTGTTTTAATTTAAGCTTTAATGGTATGAATGAAAGAATTTTTATTCTAGTCTTAAAATTCATCTATAGGATAAGAGGTGTAGGCTAAATAAAGCTAGCCATGTCTTCCATTTTAGGAAAAAAATTTCAAACAGTTAGATGGGAAAATTTTGAGATTAATAGTTGATATTTTCGACGTTTTAACTTTTTTTTTTTTTTTCTCTAACGCATTTCGATCTTAGATATCATTGTTTCTTCTCTTGGTGAAGCTTGACAAGAAGCTCCAGAACGAAAACCAGAAGGAGATGAAGATGGCAGATGTCGTTGCACTTTTTGTCCTCATTATGTGATGTCAGCTCCAACACGACATCATGCTCTCTGCATTACCAGTTCCAAGGTTAGCCGCTCAGTTGTCAACCATGCAACTGATGAGAGCTTCGTCGTGCTAAACAAAGAACAACTAAATGAACATCAAGAATGTGTTAGTTGTGGCATTAGAAATTTACTTTTGCGGTGGAGGAGGTGATGAGTTACAATGTGATGACATTTTTTACGACAATTTCCTCGGACTCCATTACAGCGATAGGAGGAGGAGCACAACACCAACTAAGGAGGGTTTTTGTGCGGTTTTTGGCTTTAAGTAATGAAACAAGAAAATTAAATATTGTTTTGGAAATTGGTTTGGTATGGTAATTGGGGTTTGAAAAATCTGTAGTTTAAAAAGGATAAAATTTAAGAAGAATACCCTTAAGAATGATTGGTATTATTTTCTAATTAAAGTTATAATTTTATTTTAATATCATAAATTTCATTAATATATTTAAGTTTATTATCAAATTAAAACTCTAATTTTGATTAAAAAAATAATATTAATTGCACTTAAAGAATTATATCTAAGTTTTATTTTTTTAAAATAAATAAAAAATATTTTGTGTTATATTATTTATTTAAGACTCATATATTGAAAATAAAACTAAAATTATAAAGATGCTAAAAACTTTTTATCATTTAATATATTTAACACTAATTTTATCTTACTACTTTAGTTTTTTTTACTACAATTTCAATTATTATATTAAATATTTTTTTTGTCACATATATGTCACTTAAAATAAATTATTTTTTAACATTATAAATGATTCGTACTTTTTTATCCTAAAATTCAGTATTAATAACTTTAGTTTTTATAAAACACCTTTTAAATCAAATATATTATGTGGATTTGAAAGGAGAAAAAAAAAAACACATTTTTAGTAACTTACTATTTTTATAAAAAAAAAAAACCTTTTATATTATATGTTATTATTGTATAAAGTGTTATCAAACATGATTTAAACTGACCGGTTCGAAACCGGACATGCAATCAGCCCACTACTGATGTCAGCAACTTGGCCTCAACTGGATCAAACTGGTTTGGGTCTTACAAGGTGCTTGCATGGTTCATGATATATACCCCTCTTTTTTTTTTTTTTTTAATAAGTACATCTCTTTTATATTTTTTTTTTTAAATTATAAAATATTGTAGTTTTTTTTTAAATTTTTCTAATTTTACACTTTAACTTTCAATTTGTTACTTTCTTCTTTTTTGCACACTTTTTTTTTTTTTTTTTTTTTTTTTTTTTTTTTTCTTTTAGTTTTCACATGTTACCAAAATAGTTGGGGTGAAAGAAAGGTAAAAGAGTACATATAAAAATTGTAAAAAGGAGGGAAGATGTGTGGAAAAAAATTAATAAATTAAATATTGTGGATGTAAAATTAAAAAAATAAAAAGTAAAAATAAAAAATAAAAAGTATTTTAAAATTTTAATTTTTTTTAAAAAGGAGGTGTACTTATAGAAAAAAGGAGGTGTATATATGATGAACCTGCTTGCATTCCAAGAAGCCCAATATGTGACTTGTGAACGGTCCAAAGTGCTTTTGTTCGTGGCCCAAGGCCAAGTGTGGTACTTAATATTTACTGCTGCACCTTTTGAGTAGGCTTTTGTGAACAAAATCAAGGATTGAAACGAGCGTTTTGAGTAGGCGATGGAGGCACCTTTTTGGACTTCCCTTCCCGTCCTCAACTTGTGATTTAAAGAGGCTTTAAACATGTAAAATCAATTTTAAAATTTGGAATGGTGATCGACTTGATTAGGATACTAAGTCAATAAATTATTTGTTGAATGACATTAACTGCATAGCCACTTAGGATAAGATTAATTAGCTTTTAATATATAAATTATTTAACCGGATAATAAGTGAATCCAAATCTTATTCACCAACCCAAAATCAAATCTCAGTCATTTTTCCATTTATAGTTAAAAACCTCAATTTTACATTTTGTACGTATCAAAATAACACGTGCCATTACATATCCCGAGTAATTTAAATTTAATAATTATATATTCTTTATATGAATTTGGATTTGGTATTTACTCATACAACATAAAAAGATAACATTGTGGGCTTTATGAATTTTTAGTTAATTTTATGAATCAAATGATTGTATCATTTGTTGTTTAGTTATTTTAGAAATCTCATAGACTAAGAAATTATCATGAGTTAAGATGTTTAGAAGTTGTTTTGAGTAGATATCATTATTAGTCAAGTTTAAGAGAAGTTATATAATTTTTTTTAAGACTTTAACTTTATAAGTTTGTTTTATTAAGAAACTTAGATACAAGTTAAAGAAAATAGCTTTAAAGTTAAGAGTGTATTTGGATGAGAAATTTAAATGGAGTAATTCATTTATTTAAAAAATTTCAAATTGTTTGTTTTATTAAGAAACTTAGATACAAGTTAAAGAAAATAGTTCTAAAGTTAAGAGTGTATTTGGATGGGGAATTTAAATGGAGTAATTCATTTATTTAAAAATTTTTAAATTCTTTGAGGTGAAATACTTTGTTTAAATAAAAAATTTATAAAAAATTTAAAATTCAAGTATTTGTGAAATTTTTTGAAATAACATAATTTCAAATTCTCCCTAAAAAGTTTTGTTTGGTTAGGAGGAAGAAAGGGAGGGGAGTTAGTTTTTTTCTTATTTAGTTCATAAGGGAAGAGAGATTTTAAAAATTATTTTACTTTTGTATTCTTATATTTTAAATTTAATAACATAAATAGGAATGTTTTGAATATTATACTAAAAATGTTTTAAAATCTCTTTCATCCCCTAAATACTTCTAATATTGGAGGAGAGCTAAAATTAAATTAGGAAGGATAATAGTGTTTGATATAAAGATTCTCAACATGTCATCATTAACTCCTTGTCCAATATATAATTAGGGAGGTGTCATCCTTTATTTACTATTTTATTTTAATGTACAAAGATATTGTCCTTTTCTTTCCTTTCTAATCTTATATTAATTATTAGATTTTTAATATCTCAACTTTTTTCTCATGACATTTTTGGTGGTGTAAAAGTGAGAAATAAAAAATAAATAAATATAATAAATTAAAACAACAAATATAATAGATTAATTAATTAGATTTAGACATTTTGAAATAATAATTAACGAGTTAAATTTATGTTAAAAATTTTATTAGAAAAAGTTATTAATTATGCATGAAAAATAATTTAGAAGATTTAATATTTTTGGGATACAGTTATAGCTTTAGATTTTCTTTTCTTTTATTGAATTTACCAAAGGAAGAAGCGGAAGATAGAATTTTTTTTTCAAGATATTTTTTTTTATGTATTTAAAAGGGATGTTTATGTTCCTAAAATCCACTCAAGACCTATCATCTACCATGGAATTGTTTCCTCGACCAATGATTTTTTTTTTAATCTTGTTTATTAGTTATTTCTTTTGCCTTGGTGAAGCCATAGATTGTGGTGGAAAGAATATTTCATATACCATCACTGTTGGTCAATCTGGCAAAGTAACATTCAGAACAATTCAAGCTGCCATTGATTCTATTAAAAGTAAGAATGATCAATGGGTCAAGATTCACATAAAAACTGGCTTATACATGTAAGTTGAATTCGTATTATTCATAACAACTTGCATTTTTTTTGTTATTGATTTTTTTTTTTTTATATCTTTGGCATTTGTGCATGATATTGATAATGATATGAATGTCCAAACTCACAATAGTCCAAATTAAAGTTTGTACGTAATTACAATAATTCTGATCAAGTTTCCACCAAGTCTTATTTCCCATTTACCATTCTTATAATGTCCATTTAACACCGGCAACGCTATTTATTTATCATGTTTGACGTTGATTTTCTAACAAGGAATATATGTCCAACTTCATTCTTTTTTCTTCTTGTGGGTGATGTTGGAATTACCTTTGTTGAAAAGGCTCTTTTTCGATCATGTGATTTTTTTTTTTTTAATTTGGAACATTTTAAAGAATTTACCTACCTTTCTTTTCATGTGATTTTTTTTTTTGAACTTGGAACATTTTAAAGAATTTACCTTCCATTCTTTAAAAATGTATTTATTCTCCTATTGTAATTATGTAGAGGAGAAGTTCATATTCCTATAGACAAGCCATGCATCATTTTGGAAGGAGAGGGTAGTCAACATACAATTATAAGTTTCTCGGACCACCAACAAACAAATAATACTTCTACATTCATTTCATCACCATCCAATGTGATTCTCAGTGACATTACAAGGTGAACACGTAGACTATTGTTAAAAACAATCATTTTGACAATTCTCCATAATTATTTATTTCTAATATATTGTTACATACTTGCAGAATTCATATAATGTGGATAATATAAGTGAAAGCATAACTCCAGCAGTGGCAGTAACAATATACGGAGACAAATCTTTTATCTTAAGATGTAGTTTTATAGGTTACCAAGACACTTTATTTGATGCAGAGGGACGTCATTACTATAAGAATTGTTATATTCAAGGTGAAATAGACTTTATTTTTGGTGGTGGACAATCTTACTTTGAGGTAATACATAAATGTATTTTATTTTTAATTTCATTTTGAGAATGAAATAATAATGAACTCATTCATTTTTATATGATTTTTTTTGTCACCTGCAGAATTGTTCACTCAATGCTACAGGGAGAAATAAAGATTTACCAGGTTTCGTCACAGCTCAAGCAAGAGATTCACCCAATAATCCAAGTGGTTTTGTATTTGAAGGGGGTTCTCTAGTGGGAAATGGTGCAGTGAATCTAGGGAGAGCATGGCGTACTTACTCTAGAGTTATATTTCACAAAACATACTTTTCTTCGGTGGTAACTCCTCAAGGATGGAATAATTTTGGTCATGATGGTCAAGAGTAAGTTTAAATAAATACATGTCTTAAAAAGACAATGCAAAAGTAATGATTATAAATTTTTTATGACTTTAAAATTATGATTAATAGTATTTTATTTTTCATTTAAAAAAGTGGGTATATATATTTTATATTGTAGGAAATTTTTTTTCTTCATTCTCTCTTAATTTGTTAACAAATACTTGTAGGGGTAATTTTACTTATGCTGAATTGATTGTAACGGACCAGGAGCTAATACTTCAAAACGTGTTCCATGGACAAAAAAGTTAAATCCTCCAGAGTTAGAAGAATTTTCTTTAGCATCTTTTATCAACAAAGATAGTTGGCTCAACAATTTACCTACTATCTCCTAATAATTTATTTTCTTCAATTTAGATTAAGAATTTTTGTATGGCTAAGTTTAGTTGAATGATCTCCGATCATTAATCTTTGTATGCTCAACTAAAATGTGATAGTTTGCCATATGAATAAATTCTTTTATTTTAATAAATAAAAGTGAATGTTAATTCATTATGTATTATATTACTCTTCTTCTTTTTCTTATTATTATTATTATCTAATTCAACAAAAAGAAAATTGAGATTGCAGCTTGCTAGATATAATGAATTTAATAACCTCAAGATGAACTCTTTTTTGGTGCACATTCTATTTACATAAACTGTACGTGTTTTATTGTACATATTTTTTATTATTGAAAAACTATATTAATCCAAACATTATATTTTGTCATAACTAATTAAAAATGCTTAAAAGATATATTGAAACATTTTTATTTAATTTTCTCTTAATCTGTAAATAAATTTATGCAATAACAAGTTTATTTTTACTGCAGTAGAGATAAATGACTATAACTAATACTTCAAAATGCCTTAAGTTGGGAGATTCTGTCATTAAATTTGTTATATTTTCCTTTCGATGCCTCAAGATATTCTATCATTAAATTTGTTATATTTTCCTTTCGATGCTCAAGATATTCCTTTCACATTATTTAAATTTTTTTAAATATATTATCTAAAAATGAATATTTACACATATTTTAGATATTATAGACTAAATTGTATTATTTTCACTAATCTACAATTTTGGTTTCTCTATTTTAAAATAAAGATTTAGTCCCTATATTTTTAAATATACAAAATTTTAGTTCTACCGTTAATTTAATGTTTATTAATTGTTAAATTTTGATATTGTTTAGAAACTTGTAACTACTTAAATGTCGTGATATTTAATGATGTAATACATAAAGATAAAAATTTTAAAAATAACATACTAATTTTTTTTTATTTATATATATTTTAATGAGTGATTAATATTTTTTATTAATAAATCTTATTTGCATGATTTTTTTAAAATTATTTTATTTTCAAATTTCATATTATTAAATGACACATTACTTAAATATGAATAAATATTAAAACTTAATGATTAATAAATGTCAATATGATAGAATGATCAAAATTCTGTATTTTTAAAATTAGAAGAACTAAATATCTCTATTTTAAAATAAATAGACCAAAATTATAAATTAATAAAAATAAAAAAAAATATAATTTAGTTAATATAATATTATACATTAAAATAAAATAATATAATGAATTATTAAATAATTTTATAATTATATGAAATCTTGAATATATTACATAATTTAACGATTGAATAATTTAAATTTACATTATAAAAAAACTTTTAAAGGCTTAAGATTTTATATAAATTTTTAGACTTGCATTTATTATAAACGGATATGTAACTCATAATTAAATATATGTTTTTAAATAAAAGATAAATTTTTAGACTTGCATTTATAAGCCTTTCAAATATCGAAGGTACTGTGGTTTAATTCGTAACCCATGAACTGCATAGCCATTATTCTAAAACTTATTATTTTGTTATATGGTTTAGCTCTATAGCCTGGCGAACTGTATAGTAAAAAATAATTGGATTTTAATATATAAACTATTTAACCGCATAATAATAAGTGAATCCACATACATCCAAATCTTATTCACTAACCGAATATTAAATCTGTATCATTTTTCTATATAGTTTTATTTTTGAACTATTTTCTATATACAATTAAAAAGCTCAATTTTATATTTTATACGTGTAATGCTTCTAAGATTTGATGTCTCATTGACTTCACTTTATGATATTTCATACAATTTTTTGTTAGTCAAAATTTTTCGTCAGTCAAAATCTTTCATGAATAACCCTTTTTTAGATGTCTCATTAGCCTCTAAGATCAATAATTAATCTCACAAATCAATACAAGACTTTTCGGTGTCTTTTATCATCACACGCAAACTTTTTTGGAAAATTTTTTAGGTCACTTATCTTAAATTGCTATAAGCCAAACACACTTAACTTAATTACGGAGTTTTTTTTTGTGTGAAGTTCTTTTATGATGAGCTACAAAAAAATAAATACATCTTGTTGATATAAATAATATAAATTAATTTCTTTAAGTCATCTTTAATTGTACAATCTCATACTTGTATAATTTTGAATCCCTCTCATTCTTATGTGTTCGAACGGTTACAGTACATGTATCAAAATAACACGGACCATTATATATCCTATGTAATTTACAATTAATAATTATATTTTTGAGTAAATTATTTTACCCTTCCTTAAGAGATATTACATTGTCATTTTCTATTTTTCTTTCTAATCTTAATAATCTTAATATTAATTATTAGATTTTTAAGATCTCAACTTTTTCCTCATAAGATTTGGTAGCATAAAAGTGAGAAATAGAAAAAAACAAATATAATAAATTAAAAGCTAGTAAAAGTATTTAATATATTGATATTCGAAATATTTAACCATTTCATCAAAATATAATCAAAAGGATTATTATATAATTGAATTAATAAGATTTAGACATTTTTAAGTAATTATTAATGAGTTAGATTTTTATTTAAAATTTTATCAGAAAAATGATAAATTATGCATGAAAAATAATTTAGAAGATTTTCTATTTTCAAGATATAGTTATTGCATTAGATTTTTTTTCTTTTCTTGGATTTACCAAAGGAAGAAGTGAGATAGATTATTTTTTCAAATGTAAGAAGTTTTTTTTTATGTATTTAAAAGGGATGTTTATGTTGCTAAAATTCATTCAACACATATCATTTTATCATGGAACTGTTTACGCGGGCAATGATTTTTTTTCTAATCTTGTTCATTAGTTATTTCTTTTATCTCAGTAAAGCCATAGATTGTGGTGGAAAGGATGTTTCTTATACTATCACTGTTGGTTCATCTGGCAAAGTAACATTTAAAACAATTCAAGCTGCTATTGATTCCGTAAAGAATAACAATAATCAATGGGTCAAGATTCACATAAAAGCTGGCTCATACATGTAAGTTGAGTTTGTATTATTTATAGCATCTTGTATTGTTTTTTGTTTTATTTTTCATTTTTTTTTGTTTTATCAACAAACAAAAATTTGTTAAGAAAATATAAAAGAATACCTCATGATTTATAAAAGAATACATAAAAATTTGTGCCGTTTTCAACATCTCTACCTATATTGTACATGCATCCGCTAACATAATCATTGTTTTGCAAAAGTGGACCATAAAAGACTACTCCCTCCATTTAAAAACTCTGGTTTTATTTTATTTTTATCTTTTTAGTTTTTTTTTAACTTTTCTTTTTTTGTATTATAGAATTTTAATATATCTTTATGTATTTTTTTTTCCAATTATTATACTCTCATGTAATTGATTAATTAAGACTAATTTAAGTGAGCTTTAATGTTACTTTTGATAGAAATTTGTATTGAAAATGGAGATTATTTAATAAAGGCTCATATAAAAATGATTATTTAAATGAACTAGTTGGAAATATCGCAGAAAATTATAATTAATAAAGAGCAGCAATTTAATTTAAATATTTATTAATCTATGTGTAAAAAGTGTTTTTTACACCATGTGTAAAAATTTAAAAGAATCAAAACTTTAAAATAAATGGAGTAATACTTTTGTCAATAAGTTTCTAAGATAATTAACTTTTTTTTTCATTTCTAAAATAATTAATAATTCTTAAGTATTAAAGTGAAAATTTTTAAACTAATAATAATATCTTTTAATAAAAAATAAAAAAATTGAAATGAGTCTTAAAAAAGGTAATTATATTTTCATATCTTTTAAAGATAGATTTAAAATGAGTTTTAAAAAATAAAAAGAACAATATTAAGTTATATAATTTTTAAAAATTATATAAAATATATTTAAAAAAAAAATCTAAAACGAGAACTTTACTGAACCGACTGAAAAATATCTTTCTTTATTTTTGACACATGATATTAATAAGGTTGAAATGCTCAAACTCACAATAATCCAAATTAAAGTTTGTTCGTACATAGCTACAACAAATTTGATTAAGCTTCAACAAAAGTCTCATCTTCCATTCTTATAATGTCCATATAACACTGAACTACCTATTTATTTATCATGTTTGGCGTTGTTTTTCTAACCACGAATGTACATCCAACCTCATAAAAATGTATATAATTATTTTCATATTATAATTATGTAGAGAAAAAGTTCATATTCCTATTGAAAAGCCATGCATCATTTTAGAAGGAGAGGGTAGTCAAAATACAATCATAAGCTTCTCGGATAACAAAGGAACAAGCAGTAGTGCTACATTCGTTTCATCGCCACCCAATGTGGTTATGAGTGACATTACTTTCCAGGTGAACACATAAACATTTGATAAAAATAATTATTTTGACAACACTGCAATATTATTTCTTTCTAATGTATTATTACATAATTGCAGAACACGTATAATGTGAACAACAAAACCCAAAAAGTATCTCCAGCAGTTGCAGCATTAATACAAGGAGATAAATCTTTCATCTTTAGGTGCAGTTTTATAGGTTATCAGGACACTTTATTTGATGCATATGGGCGTCATTATTATAAGGATTGTTACATTCAAGGTGAAGTGGACTTTATTTTTGGTAGAGCACAATCTTACTATGAGGTATTAAATAAATGTATTTTTTATATTTCATTATGAAAATGAAATAATGAATACTACATTCATTTCTATGTGTTTTTTCTGTCACTTGCAGAATTGTTTACTCAATGCTACAGGAAGAAATTTACCAGGTTTTGTTACAGCTCAAGGAAGAGATTCACCTGATAGTCCTAGTGGTTTTGTATTTGAAGGAGGTTCCTTGGTGGGAAATGATAAAGTAAATTTAGGAAGAGCATGGCGTGCTTACTCTAGAGTTATATTTCACAATACAAACTTTTCTTCTGTGGTAACTCCTCAAGGATGGAATTCTTTCGGTCGTGCTGGCCAAGAGTAAGTTTAAATAAATGCATGCTTTAAAAAAGTACAATACAAAAGTAATGATCATGATTTTTTTATATATTATTTTATTTTTCATTAAAAATATGAGTATTTTTTGTATTGATATTTTACATTGTAAGAATTTTTTTCTTCATTTTTTCTTAATTTGTTAACAAATACTTGTAGGAGTAAGATTACTTATGCTGAAGTTGACTGTAAAGGACCCGGAGCTGATACTTCGAAGCGTGTTCCATGGTTGAAAAAGTTGACTCCTTCACAATTAGAAGAATTTTCTTTAGCATCTTTTATTAACAAAGACAATTGGCTTGACAATTTACCGGTTATCTCTAAGTAATTCATTTTCTCTAATTTAAAATGAGATTTTTGTATGGTTAAGTTTAATCATATAATCTCCCATTATTAATATTTGTAAGCTCAACTATAAAATGTAGTGATTTGTCATATGAATAACCTTCTATATTTTAATAAATAAAGTGAATGTTAAGTCATTATGCTTGTATTAATCTTCTTTTTAAATAATGAGCTAGCTAATTTTTCGAAAAGAAAAAAAGAAAAAACTCTTAGATTGTGGCTTGTTAGATATAGTCAATTTAATAACCTCAAGATCAACTTTTTTGATGCACATTCTATTTACATAAACTGTGTTTAATTATATCTTTTTATTATTGAAATATTATATTAATCCAAACATTACAAGTGTTAGTCTACTAAAAGAACATGATAAATTACTAAATAATTTTAAAGGTATAAGATATGTAAATTTTTAGATTTACATCTAATGTCAAATAGTGTCAAATTAGTAAAATGACATTTTTAATAAATTTTTTTGAATGCAAATTAAACAATCTAACTGTTGTATTTGATGATATTATTAATCAATATAAAAAATTACAAATAATTATAAAACTATTTGGTGGTTCATCATTAAACCTTATTTTAACATATAAAATGATATTTAAAAACATGTAAATATCTATTATTAGATAACATAGTTAGAAGAGTAAAAAATTATTTAAAAATTGATATGTTAATTGTAACAACTTGGCAAATCACTTCACTTTATAGTTAGCAACTAAGTAGCAAAAAACATAATTCTAGTCACCTACAATTATCATTCAACAGTTCCTGGATACACATGCATGATGCAATATATATAAACAAAACCGGTGTAACTTTTACTAAGTATTACACCACCTAATAACTTTATATTAAATGTGAATCTTATAAATTCAATTGTTATATTGAAAGTTCTCTACTCTTGGATCATATATACAAAATTTTATATTAATTCAAAATGATTTAATACTTCATTTTTATAAAATAAAATTGACCTTCAAGTTGTTCAATTTTAACAAAATTTGATATAAACGTATAAAATGATATGAAGTTATAATTCAACAGTTGGATTTACAAAATTCACATTTAATATAAACTTATTGAGCGGTGTAATACTTAGTAAAAGTTACACCAGTGTCGTTTGAACCCTCCTTATATATATATATACTAAAAAAAATAAAGTTTCTCCGAGGGACTACATCTCAATCATGTACACATACAAAAACATATACACAATCATCCAGACTATAAAACATAAAATTAAGTTGTTGGTCAAGTAACTATTGTACAAATGTTGTCTCAAAACAACACTAATCAAAACACTGCCACCTCCAATATGGCACCCAAAATCCTGCTTACCCTTCAGCCTAATCCTATGCTACTCTCGTAAAAAAAATATGATTATTTTAGTTCAACAATAAGAAAAAGTATGGGTAAGCTCATAATCAATAAAAACAACATAGTACAGAAGGAATAAATTATCTATACAAACAACTTGATCAACACAACATAATATCAACCTAAGGTCCAATTTAGTAACACATAATAACATTTCAACACAACTTTACAGTTTAACAACTTTTCAACTTACAACATAAATATACAACTCATCAACGACACAATAACTTAGCAAACCACAACTAAACAACACAACAATCATAACAACACATAGGTGAACAATTTAAGTAGTTTAACCCTATCGAACCAAATTAATAATGATCTTTTCAGTTTGCTAGATCAACATCAAATTTGAATGTCGATCTATAACACAACATGATTTCTTAGATTTCACCATTTAAACTAGGAAAATCCAGTATATTTGTTAGGAATAGAACAACTTAGGTGTAGGCCTACCACAACATTAGTATGCATCATCTTAACCCATATGGAATTAATTCATTGACTATTTTCCATATATTGAGCACTTTTCTTGTAATTAGTTAAGGGTTCTACCCCTCAACTTCATACTTTACTCAAATTGGTCGCTCCTAAATCAATGTGGCTCGACCTATATCTCCCATACGATATTAACTAAGGACTTAGAGGAGACTTAACACTTCACTTCAAGAGACAACAATACTCAATAAGAGTTTTAAACGATTTGACTCTTAGAGCATCACAACACATATCAACACAATGGGATATTTTGACTTATAAAACAACACATTTCCTCTAGTCCTAAATTCTCAACACAATTCAACATCATGCATCATGCATCTTATCAACATAATTCCATACAACAACATGCCTTATGCATATCACAACACAACACACAACATAATTCACATGTACATTCAACATATTAACGCTCGCGTGTGATCAAGCCTACGCTTGGGGCCAAATAAGACATGCAACCCTTGAAGCACCCATGCCTAAAGCCACTAATCTCGCACCTGACGTAAATAATGCAGAGAGCATCTAACTCACTCACGCTCAATGCCATTCATCCTCTGGTCAACAAAAATGAGGCAAAGTCTCTAGCTTACTCACGCCTAGTGCCATTCATCCTAAGATCAACATCAATGAGTTAAAAAGTCTGTAACTTGCTATTATTTAATGCCACTCATCCTACACCTATTGTTAGTGAGACACAGAGCCTTTGAATCATTCACACTCAGTGTCATGAAGTTACGGTCAATATAAAGGTGATTTTTGCACTCTACAAGATCGCAATTTGGGTTTAAAACACCAACATTCTTCATTAATCAAACATGCAACTTTCGATTCAATACATATACATCATATATAGCTCAAATTCACAAAATTAAGCAACATGAAGCAACAAGGTTTTTCACTTCTCAATTTAACAACACAGCCACACATGGATGTATCTAGACAATAACCAACACATGCAACACAACTAGATAAATCTAAAAGCTTCCCTTACTCAAATCTTCAAAAAAAGAAGGAAGGGAAGGACGAATGATGAAGAACATAGCCTCCCAAGCTATCACTGCACAACAATCATGAACCTCCGATTCTCGACTCTCCATGCTTCAAATCACAACTCAACTCCTACAATCTAAGCCTTGGGGAAGGTTAGAATGATTATGTGAAGTCGAAAGGAAGTATAATCCCCTTTTTCTCTAGAAATTTCTCTAAAATTCTTACGAAATAAATTTATGAAACTCTTATAAAAGCTTATATACATTCTCATAAATTAGTCAACTTTGACCTCAACACTAAACAACTCCCAAACAATTAAATTCGTAAGAACTCCTTAATTTTTTAGAGTTTAAAACATTAAAATAGTACACCAACAATTATTTAATTAAATAAACAATCAATCATAACACATTGTTACATTGATTGACCTTTTTTTTAATCTAAAATAAAATTCAAACCTAAACCATATATATATATATAACCTCAACTCCTATACCACTATATTAACTCTAGTAGTATGATTAATTACAAATTGCTATCTCTATTAATTTTAAAATCTAGGTCATCTTAATATTAGTTCAAAATGAGTAAAATTTGGTATATATGTTAAAAGTTAATGCAGAAAGTGAACTATTACTTTTTAGAATTTTCTAATTATTATTTGTTTTCATTTTTAGTTTAATAAAAAAACACATTTTAAGGATAACACGTATATATTATTTGTTAATTATTATTAATTTTTATCTTATAAATCATATAATTAGTCATATATTAATTTATAATTGTTTAACATTAATTTCTTATAATTTCATACTTTTTTATTACTTAAAATAAGTTAAACATACAATTTGGTTCTTATATATGTCACAAATTCTCAATTTCATCCATACATGTAAAAAAAAAATTAGTTCCTATGTGTATATGTATATAAATATTATTGATTTAGTTCTTATTATTAATCTCTTTACATATTTTTAATTTGGTGCCTTTAGGCATTCTTAATTTGATTCCTTTACTCATAATGTATTTTTAATTTAGTTTCTGTATATAAGGACTAAATTAAAATATATTTAATATATATAAAGACCAAATTAAGAATGAATTACATTTATAATAATTAAATTAAAAAATGTTAAATGAAATTAATAGTGAACATATAATAAGGACCAAATTAGTAATGATTATATATAAAGGAATCACTTTAATATTTTATTTTACATATAAAAATTAAATTGAGAATAGCAACATATATCAAGTATAAATTATATATTTAAACTTTAAAATATTTAAATATTAAATTATTTACTCTTAATTCAATCAAAGTAATAAATTGCAAACCAATACTTTTATCAATTCTTACAAGTTTAATTTTTTAAAACATTCATTATAAATAATAATTTTGGGAAAAATTTATTAGAAAATAGTTTACTATTGTACCTATAATGTATAGATATTTTATATTATCATCTAACCATAAATTAACTTAATCAGAAAATTTATATTTAATTTTTGCATAATTTTTCTTATAAAAAAATTAGTTTTTTTTAATTTTTTATTTAATAAAAAGGTAGAATTCCTTTTTATAAAATCTTTTTTATAAGAATAAAATAGTATTTTTAGTCACTATCTCATAATAAAAAATTAAGTCAATAAAAAAATTATTAAAAAAATGTAATTAATATCTCTTTTTTTATCCAAAGATGTTTTACAGTGTTCTCTTTCTTTTTAATGATCAAAAGTCAACTATTTAATTATTCTAGTTTCATTTAATGGAAGATTGACTCACTTTTTAAAAAGCTTTTATAAAATTTAACAGTAATCAATATTATAAATGTGCTATCATTAATTTCTCAATTAATGTCTTTATATTAAAATCATTAAATTTTTATTTCAATTTTATGACAAATAAATTATCAACCTGATAAATGAATTTTAACAATAAATCTTACAATGATATTATCTGAATTCAAACTTAAAATTATGCATATTACTCAACTCGCATTAATAAACTTGATAGAATTTGAGAGAAAAGTCATAATTATATTTTTGATGAGTAAAAAAATCATAATTATTAATTTGATTAATAAACCACAATTATTTTGAAATTGAATAAGTATTTTATTTTAAAAAAATTTATAAAATGTTATACGTAAAATTGAATTTTAACTTTTCAAATAATAATAAATAAAAAGATAAATGACAACCAATTAAATGTCCTTTATAGACAATAGTTAGAAAAACAAAATGTTTCAGTGCAAAAAATATTTATCTTATTAAAAATATAAGAATTATTCTTTTTTTTTACCAGTAATAAATATTGTTTAATATTTTTAACTGAAATATTTAAGATTTTAATTAGTGATATAATAAAATGTTAAAAATAAACGGAGTGAAAATAAAAAACTGTAACATTACAATTTATTGAGAGTAAAAATTACCCATTAAGGTTGTGCGGGATTGAACAAATATCTCTATTTTTATGATTCCTACAATTATTTTACTTAATCATTTAAAAATTATTACATTGATACGTTGTGATTCTTTTAAGGGAGATTACTGTAAATTGTAGGTGTATATTAGTGTTATTTCACAAAATTCCAAGGAAAGTATGTGTAATTTATTCTTATTAATGTAATTATGGATAAATTGTACTTTCTTATTTTATAATTTTGGTCCTTTAATTTTAAAATAAATTAGTCTTCTTATTTTTGAAAATATAAAAATTTGATTTTACTGTTATCTTAATATTTATTTATTGTTAAATTTTGTTATTGTTTATTAACATATCACCATTTAAATAATGTGATATTTTAACAAGTATTAGTATTTATTTTATTAATAAATTTTATTTATATTTTTTAAAGTTTTTTATCGTTAAATATTATATTATTAAATGTTTTATCACTTAAATATGATTAAAAGTTAAAACTTAATGTTAATAGATATCAATTTGATTAGAAGACCAAAATTTTATATTTTTAAAATTAAAGAAGTTAAATAACTTTATTTTAAAATAGGAAAACTAAAATTGTGGATTAACATAAGTAGAGAGATTAAAAATACAATTTCATCACCTATCATTATGTATAACAAAGTTTATTTATTTTTTATTCTTAAATATTTTATAAAAGATGGTCAAAGGAAGTTATTATATTTATTGGTTATTATTATTATTTTTTAATAAACATAAGATATAACACCTTCTTACTGGATTAATTCTTATGGGATAAAGTAGTACTTTTAGTCACAATTTCATGTCATGTAAGAGATTTTAGTCTCATTCTTAGTTAACTAGTATAAATATTGAATCATATGAACTACCGACCTTTGCTATTTATTAGTGATTGTTAAACTTATAGTTAATAATTAATTTAATCAATATATATATATTAATGCATATTACTCAGGTGAAATTTTGATTCTAAATTGAGAACAATACCAACCGCAGCTATAAATTATACCTAAGTTTGATATTTAATAATACCTCATTCGACCTTTATTGCAAAACACTTTTAACAAAATCATACATATTAATATGAGTACAATAGTTATTTTAGTTGATTATATTTATTTTTTAAAATAAAATTATGATGTGTCAATTTTATCATTTTTATTCATCATTAAATTGTTAAAAGAGAGATGAAAATATTACTATTTCAGAGCAAAATTTATGCACCAATACATTAAAAATGATAAATAACAAATCACAATTAGAGTGTTTAAGAGGTGGGAGAAAAAAATATTTATTTCTCAATTTCTCTATTATTATTCAACAACAACAAAAATGCACATAATCACACTCTTTAATAAAAATAAAATTAATTCTTATAAATTTTGTAAAATTCCTTAAAAAAATTATATGATGATCTTCTTAAAAATCATATCTTATAATGATAAGAATCAGAGTAATTTTTTTTAATCTATTTTCTTTTTCATTTTCTTTTGTCATTATCCTCCACTATATTTCCTCCTTATCTGTTTCTTTCTTTTTTTCTTCTCCATATTACCTTAATCTTCTTTTTTCCAATTTTCCACCCATAAACAGGTATGAAAAAATAACTAACTATTAATTGTATGAGAATAAAATATAAGGTTATATTTGATCCCACTTTTTTGAGCTTTTTCTTCTACCGAAAAAAAATTGACAAATTTTTCTTATAAAAATATTTACAAAATTAAACAATTAAGCTCTTATAAAAAAGAAAAAAAACATTTTTTTTAAAATAAGCCTTAGAAACAAAGCTAAGTAGTAATTGATTGCTTAGAAAGATTTTTGTTTCTGAGGTCTTAGAGTATTCTATTTTAGAAAATATTTTTATATTTTTTTTAATTTTTTGAGATATATATTGGAGAAAATATAAAAAAGGAAAATTTATTAATGTGTTGACTGTACTCACAATCTTCAATAAAAATTAGTGACTATAAATATAGTGAAATGATTGTAAAATAATATAATGGTTTTTTGTGTAATTATCAGAAATGAAAGTGGGCAGAAAAGACACTTTAGTCTTGCAAGGGCACAGTTTATATATGAAATAGATAAAGCATATGTTTGCTAAGGCAATTAATATTCTACATTGATCAATTGTCATGGAAGTGATTCCTGGAGCAGTTCTTTTTCTGTTGTTTCTTTGGTTTTCTTTCTGGGTAGGTGGAGCCATGGATTGCGCAGGGAACAACATTGTACACACCATCACAGTTGATCAACAAGGCAAAGGAGAATTCACAACAGTTCAAGCCGCCATTGATTCGATAATGAAATTCAATAATCGATGGGTCAAACTTCACATAAATGCTGGCACCTACACGTAAGCTGTAACATGAATGCTCTATTATGCTTTTGTTTTTCCAAAGACTCAAATTAAAGGTATTGTTTGATTTTAGAAAATATCTTCGTATTTACTTTGTTTTTTAATCAAATTCCACCATTGTATTTTTTATAATATTTAATTTATAATTTTAATCCCTAAATTTTAAATCTATAAATTTTTTCTTTAATTTTTTAAAACTAATAATTTTAATTTAATAATTATATGTTTGTTTATTAATTATTAAAATTATAATATTGATAATGACTCAATATTAAGTAAACAATGTCACAATCAATATTTAATAATATTTAAGGTAAATTTTGTTTTAATTTTTATTTATTTTATTATTTATTATTATCATTTTTATAGAGTAAAAATAGGAAAGGAAATATAATTTAATCTTAATATTATCAAATAATATTTGTCTTATCACCTTTTTATTTAATGTCATATTGTAGTTAATATTATAAATAATATATTGTAATACAATATTATTTTTACTTATTAATAATTTATTTTAAAATATTAAAATATAATTTATAAATAATTATGATAAGTGAAAATTAAATTAATTAAATATAAAAAAAATCTCTAAAATTTATTTATTAAAAAATAAAATTTAAAATATTTTTGTTCAAAATAATTATATATTTTATTTTTAATATATAAGGTGTTAATTGTAATTATGTAGAGAGAAAGTTGAAATTTCGGAATATAAGCCATGCATATTTTTAGAAGGAGCTGGTAAAGAGGTCACAACCATTAGATCTAGTGGCTACCACAGCACTTCCACCATTAAATCAAGTGTCAAAAACCGAAACGAAAACACGGGTGCTATATTCGTCTCTTTTCCCCCTAATGTCATCGTGATCGGCATTACCTTTGAGGTAATAAGATATTTCATTCATCTCAAATTTTTTATCTTTCAATTTTTTTTCTTCTAAAATAACTGATATTTTAAAGTTTAATAAATTTGTTAATTAAACTTCGATTTAATTATTTATTAGATAATGTTTCTATCGTAAGTCTGCTGTCATTGTTAGGATTACCGTATTTGAGGTATTGTCTGCTTTGACACTGGTTGGGTTGTCACGGTTTTATCTTTCAAAAAACGCCTTAGTGTTTATAAACAACCCTTAGTCTCGACTGTGAGACTTGTTCCGGTATGGCTAAAAGTCTCACATCGCTTAGGAGTCGAGGTTAAAGGTAGTTTATAAACATCCTCCCTTCTTAACTCGTCAAGATGTCTTTTAAAGGACAAAACCGTGACAGCCCAACGAGTTAAAACGAGCAATACCACAGATGCAGTGACTCTAACGATAACAGTAGATTTACGATAGGAACTTTCTAAAACTTAGTTATTTTAAATTTTTATACACAAATTAAGAAATATTTAATTTATATATTTTAATTAAATTATTTTCATTTAATAATTTTGCATTCAAAAGCAACATTAATGTTGCATTCAAATTAGTTTTAACTACTCAACCATATTTAAGAGTATCATTGAGAAAAAAAATACATAGATATATATTGAAATCTTAAAAGAATCATAAAAGAATCAAAGTGTTGAAATAAAATTAAAAGATAAATGTTAGCAACATTTACTCTAATATTTTTTTATTATTTTTTACTATTGGTTGAAAATCACAAATTTTAATGGATCTCTCCTCTAAATTAGAATAGAAGCTTATTAAATAAAATGTAAGATTTATAAAATTTGTAATTTTTAATAAATTTGAACTAATGATGAAGAGAATAATAGTAAGTGAATGTTAAAGAAAGTGTCATTAATACTCCTCACTTTAAAAAGTTAAAACAACCAAAATTTTGAAACAAAAAGGGAGATTTAATAGCACAAATATTGTCTTTAATGTCTAAATTGAAAATGTAGAACTCATTTAATTTGATGGGATCACAACCCATCCAACCAGCACCAGCTGCGGCCATATACGGTGACAAATCTGTCTTCCTCGAGTGTGGTTTCAAAAGTTATCAAGATACATTGTTTGATGAATTGGGACGTCATTATTTCAAAAATTGCTATATTCAAGGTGAGGTGGATTTCATTTATGGAGGTGGTCAATCTTATTATGAGGTAATGTATATCTTAAAAAATAATATTTTTTATGTATATTTTTATATCAATCCTTTTTTTTCTTTTACAAAATGTTTTTATTAGATAAGTTTGGTCTTTATATTAGTTTATTATATTATCTTGATCAACTTGATGATGAGTCAAATGGGGAAAAAAATATCGCGTAATATGCACATTTAATTTGTACTATACACAAAAATTGTTGGAAAAATCAATTTGGTTTAACAAATATTCTTTGAGGAACTAAAGTTAAACATTTTAAACTCAAAAAATCAGAAAATAAGATAAGAGACAATAATGAAATTTTAGTATAATCCTTTTAATATTTTATAAAATAAGTATTAAATGAAAAAGTGAATTGGATTTAATATTTTGAAACTTTAAAGTATATTTAAATATTTTTCATTCAATAAAAAAAAATCACGTAAATGTTGTAAAAGACTTACAATTAATTATTTATATAATAAATATTTTTGTTTTAAAATTATTTGTAACGATGGAACACTATTTCAATAATTTATTTTTGCTTTTGCTTGTATATAGGCTTGTACCATTAATGCTACACAAGAAAAACCTTCTTCAACGGGTTTTGTAACGGCCCAATCCCGATATTCAGAAAAGGACACAAGTGGCTTTGTTTTCAGAACAGGTAGTGTAACTGGAAGTGGTGAAGTGAATCTTGGAAGAGCATGGGGACCTTATTCAAGAGTTATATTTTACGGAACATATTTTTCTTCAATAGTATCTCCTCAAGGATGGAATGCTTGGAATTACAGAGGCCAAGAGTACGTGCATGTGGTTCACTTCATAATTATATTTAACTTTCTAATTTTTATCTCAATGTTTGTAACGTACATGCATGCAGGTCCAAACTTACTTATGCTGAGGTTGACTGCACCGGACCAGGTGCAAACACTACAGAACGTGTTCAATGGAGAAAAAACCTCACTAATTCGCAGTTAAATGAGTTTTCTTTATCATCTTACATCAACAAAGATGGGTGGCTTTCCAACTTACCAATTAAATTTTAGTGTTTTTATCTTCCCAAACTTAGGTTAACATGTATTGTATGTCAATCAAGATTAGTACAGATACTTCAAGTTTAAATTAGCATTTTATACAGTAACTCTAAGTTTCAGACTAACTTTATATATTTTATTTATAATACATCCAAATAAATTGAACAGTAAAAAATAAAATTATGTTGGATACTTACCTCTAAATTCTTTACCAAGGTGTAGATGTTGATGTCATTAATACTTAGTTAATGAGGAAATGTAATAAACTTAATCATTCATACACTGTGAGTATAAATTTTTTTACACTGACAATCAATTATATCTTTTAAATTATTTTATTTTTTATTTGATTAAATAAGTAAATAACATGACATTATTAAAAGATATGATTAGTTGTCAGTGTAATCAATTATATGATTAGGTGATTAACTCAATGTAATATAGATGACTGAAGGTGTTCAACCTATGGGTAGTGGGTACGTTAATAATTTTGACATGATGGTTACCTGAGAAATTCGTGACATTGGTCCCTCCAAAAGAGCTCAGCCTGTCACTCAGATGGCCCAATAACAAGCCCAAATGAGAATATCGTTGGTCCAATTCAAGAGCTAAAGGTATGTTAAAAAAATGAAAGAGGATCCGAGGTGCAGCCCAACTCCGTGAATTCGTAACTTTTTTTTAGGGTAGTGAATTCGTTACTTCTTCTAATGCAAATAACCATCAAGAAGCATTATTGAATATTGAATAACTAAGAAGTAAGATGTGATTTCTTTGATAAAAAATGGTGAGTACCAAAAAGTAATAAAGCAATATTGAATCATGTGATTTTTATTGGGGATATAGAATTGCACGATTCATCTGGGTATAATAAGAAGCAAAATCATTTATTATTCCACACATGATATTAATATCAAATCGCAAATCATAAGATTTTAGTATCTATGATTTCATTATGGTTGTGTTTGGGCAGAAGATTTTAAAATTTTAAGAAATTTTGAATTTTAAGAATTGTAATCGCTTTAATTGAAATGTTTTTATTTTTAAATTATTGTGTTTGGATAATGAAATTAAAATTTTTCATTTTCAATAGACCACATTATATTAAGGTACAAACTATTTAATACAAGACTTGATGCATGCTTAACATAATGATAATAAGTCAATGTTAAGCAAAATTGGAATAAGTGGAAACAAGAACGAATGAAGAATGCATAGATAATTTTAAATTCCAATATCCATTGAGAAGCAAGATATAAGTGATAGGGGAAGTGACATACTTGGTCAAATAATCATATTCAAAGTCAAAATTCACAAAATTGTCCAACCCTCCTCATTACCCATCATCATATAAGGATAAATTAACATCTTCCACAATATCTGGTCTCTTTGTTTAAACTTACAAAAAGTAATTTAATAATTTAATGATACAATTAAAAAAAACAATATTAACCTTATCTTTCAAGAAAAGTATTAATACAAATTCTTTATATTTTTATTTTTTTCATAAAAAATATTTTAAAAGGTTACAACGATCATGAACTTTTTAAAACAAATATTTTAGAGTCTCAACAATTCGAGACAATTTAACATCTCCCTCATTTTCATATCTAAATCATAAGCTCAAAACTCTTGTTAGTTGAAAAACCAAATTAGACCACTAATGAATAAAACAAATTATGTATTGATCAACTTTAATTATCAAGCCTCCTAATTTAATTTTATAAACTTTGAGAAAAAAAATCACAATAGTTTAACGAGTGCTCAAGAGTTTTTTTATTCATATTAGGAAAAAAGATGTGTTCTATTACACTTGAATGATGTGCTCAACAATTCATCAACTCCACTTTCTTTTCAGGTTTGCTACAAATTTAGCAAACTTGCCTGAAAGACCCCTTTTCCTTTAAATGAAAGACACGAGTTCTTCTTTGTGAGTACTATTATTTTTAAATATTCATTTCACTCTTCCTTTTCACTGACTCTACTTTTTCAATCATAATCTCATCTTGTCCTAGTTTAAATTAATTTTCCAAAAGTTAATTTCACTTTTAATTTTCTTTCATGTTTCCCTTTCAATTTAAGTGGCATATCTTGTTGTTATAAGGAAATTTTCTAGAAATTTATTCAGAATCGTCTCAAATAAACTTTTCTAAAAATCCATTTCACTCTTTTTTTTTTCTTCTTTCGTTTTACATTTTAAATTAGAGTCTCATTTCTTGATATTTTAAGTAAATTATTTCAATAATTCAGTTAACTTTTTTCCCTCTCTTTTATTTTGGAATCATAGTTTTACCTCTAGTCTTTCTTTTAAATAAATTTTTATAAAAATTCATTTAACTCTTTTTTCTTTTTGAATAATAGTCTCACTTATGTCTTTTTTAATTAATTTTTTCTTCTTCTAGAAATTCATTTATTTATCTATTTTAATCTTTATCTCATCTCTCATCTTAAGTAGAATTTGGCTGGTGGGTGAACTCCCTAAAAAACTGTGATGTGGATGTGCCGTTAAACAAGACAAGAATGGATTTATATTTAATAAGTCTACAATGCATAGACTTTGTAGCTAAACAGATAAGTCTATGGCCAACTAACTTTGCATGTAAATTTATCTTTCCTCTTCCTGCAGCTCCATTCTTCACTCCCAATGCAAGTAACCTCTCAATTCGTTGTTGCACTGACCATTTCATGTAAGATTGGCTGATAATGTTGGCAAAAAAATATTTCAATTTACAAAATGACCATGTAGCCTGCTACCCGTGTAAATCTGCATTGAAATCTGAATTTTTCATTTAAGAAAATGATTGGTCAGTAAGATATGTATTGGATAAAATATGATATCAACTATCCTATCTGTAATGTAATAATTCGTTCTTTATCATGCTAACAAGATATGATATTTTTATTCAAATTCTTACTTTATTTTGTTTTATCTTAAAAAAAAAAAAGTTAAATTGGAAAGCAATGAGATTGTATAAACTCAAAAATACAAAATATATATTTCAATATTATGGTAAATAAGTTTGTTTAAATGTTTTTAGCTAATATTTGTAGTATTACAATTTTAAAACCAATCAATTTATATTTTAATTCAGTCTTAAAATAAAAAAACTCGATTCAATATTTTAAACTTGATTATCGTTTATATTACTAATATTTTAACATGGTATAATGTATAAATTAAATATTTATTATATATAACTAAAATTTATAATTCATATATTTAAGATTTATAATAAATAATTTAAATTATATATAATATATTTTTATTTGTTGATAATTTTTTTTTAAAAAAAAATTTATCTATAAATAATTATGATAAATAAATAAAATAAAATATTTTATTTTGAAAAAAAACTCTCAATAAATTATTTAAAAATATTCTTATACAATATAAGAGTTTATATTAAATATATAAAAGTTAATATGTTTAATGAAAGGTGACATCCTGTAGATATGAATTAATTTTTTATTATGAATTTAAAAATGTTAGACAAATCATATTCATAAATAAAAAAAATAAAAAAATTATCTCCTATTGTCATGAATCAATCTCACCAAAATTGACAAGTTAATTAATATTTAATTACAGTATATAAAAGTTGATATTTATGAATAAAAAAAGAAGTTTTAAAAAGCGTGTCGGAGGCATCGATCGAAGCGACTCCACCTAAATTCAGACACATTACTAGTCTGAACTGACATTATATGGAAGTGGCTGGGTATTAAGATTTCGAGTTTGGGTTACGCGTCGCCTCGAGACTCACGCCTCATGCATGAAGCTGCTACCCTGCATCTGCAACTAGGGACTCGCACCACCCTGCCATACTACTGCACCAACTCAATTATTAAATACATCTATAACAATATATATTTTATATTTTTTCTTCTATTAAACTATATTTTATTTATATCAATTATTGTCTTTTAAACTATCAATCCAAGTTTTAAACTATGCTTTGTTACATAATAAAAAGTAGCTTTAACACGAAATACATGGTGTAAGTTTTTTTTTTTTATTTTATCAAACTTATTTTTCTTTATTTATTGTTGCTTTCTACAGGTAGCTATACTAATTTTCATATTTTATCATAAAGATTTTCTTTATGTTGTATCTTTTATTTCCCTATCATCTTTTGCTTCGTTTTGACGAGGAATAAGAGAAGTTATATATATATATATATAGGGGAATGTTAATATATTCTCACTTATTTTTTAATAGAAGTACGTTAGCAGCCTACACTAAAATTTTAGATAAGAAAATCATTTATTTTTTTTTGATTTGGATAATTTGTATAAATGATATTATAATAATTTAATTTAATTTTAAAAGAAAATAAAATATTTTCTCTCTTTTATTAATTTCATTCTCCAATTTTTTTTATTTATTAATTTTTTATTTGTTCAGAGAGAGCGGAGACATCATGAGAGATGAGAGAGAAATGAAATTTAATAGGAGAGAGATAAATGAGTTAGAAAAGATATTTAATAGGTAGAGAAATGGGATAAATGAGTTAGAGAAAAAATTTAATAGGAGAGAGATAAATGAGTTAGAAAAGATATTTAATAAGAAAGAGAAATGGGTTGGAGAAGGAATTTAATAGGAGTTAGAAATGACTATAATATTCTTTATACAAATTAATCAAATCAAAAGAAATGAATGATTTTCTTGTCTTAAAATTTTGGTATAAGTTGTTAACATACTCGCACTAAAAAATAGGTGGGAGTATATTAGCATTTCCCATATATATATATATATATATATA